AAACAAATTCAAGCAGAAACTGTCCAAAAACTCACAAGTTCAATGGATGCAAGACTTGTGAAGCTGCTATCAAATAAGGGGTCCTATGTTAAAATGTAACGTGACCCGTTAAAATGTTTAAAAAGTTAAAATGTTGTTAAAAGTTTTATTGAAATAGCTTTTGATTTCAGTAAATATGCTGCAAACACAACAAATGACAATTTTCAGTTCTTTACAACCTATAAAGTGTTTTGAAACTTACTGTGCTTAATAATTTGGAACAGTGCATTGTAAGGTTTTTATGTTTAAAAACAATCCTGTTATCATTAGGAGGTTTGTTCAATAAAATTTGAATTGTACTCTTAATAGTTGATAACATGAGAATTATGCTGACTGTTATTTACATCAATTATTTAGGTAAATGAGAAAAATATCATTTGCATAATAATTTGGTACAGGGTGTATGTAACTATATATAAGTACCTGTAATAAATAAATAATAATTTATGGAGGCTGCAATTGATAATTTCTTCTTGCTGGTCTCCTAGCTGTCCTGTTGATCCAATGGTTTCAGTACTCTAATTCAATGACCCAGAACAAGCATGCAGCAGGCCAGGAGTTCTGACTTCATTTTAACTTTTCCAACACTTGCACTTGTTCCTGGTCAAAGGCTTCAAGTATTGGATCAGCATGACAGCCAGGCGATTAGCATTCTTTGAGGGAAACCAGTGAAGGCAGCCTCCGTATTTCAACCAGTGCAGGTTCCCTTTAACCACTCCAGGGCCAGGTGGCCGTTTATAAATGACCTCCCCGCACCCTGCTTGTGCGCACTCCCCGGGAGCGCGCAGCACCGTGATCCGGTGTCCGCTTTGTCCTCCGGACACAGTGAAACGCCGATCGTCGGATGGGAGCTCTGTACGAGGTCCCGATCATGTGATCACTGATTGGCCAATAAGTGATCACATGCAAAGTAGTAAGCAAGATGTCACTTCTGACAATTGCTTACTACATAAGATCAAGAGGTCACATGTACAAGGCTATTCACAACAGCCTTGTACCATGTGAGAAGCTGTGACCAATCACAGCTCACTCAGTAGTTCTCAATGGCTGCAAGAATGCAGACAGAGAGAAAGAGAAATGATTCTTTTACATCCTATATGGGTGTAAAAGCAATCAGTGTAAAAAAAAAAAAAAAAAAAAAAATCTTCATCACCCCCCAAAAGTAGTACATAATCACCATGGTGACACTGTACTGCTAGGGTGACAGTATGTAAAAAAAAACTAAAATAAATTAAATAATAATATTTAAAAAAAATGTAAAAAAAATGTTTAAAAATTATAATTTTTGGTTATAAACTAATTTGGTTTTTGTTTTTGCTAAAAAGATAACGTAATAAATTTTGGCCAAGATTTATGATGAAATATTATTTATTAGCAAAATTTTATAAGAAAAACACTTTTTTTCCAAATTTTTGGACATTTTCATTTACATAGCAAAAAAAAATAAAAATCCCAGGGGTGAATAAATACCACCAAAATAAAGTTTTATCTGTCTCAAAAAATGGTAAAAAATTCATATGGGTACAGTATTGCATGACCGCGCAATTGTTATTCAAAGTGTGATAGCGCTGAAAGCTGAAAATTGCCCTGGTCAGGAAGGGGGTAAAAGTGTCCGGACTGGAAGTAGTTAAGCCTCCTTCCTACAGCATGGCCAGGACTACACGATGTTTGCCAGTTATTGATGTCTTTCAATCAACAATGGGGAGCTGTCACGGATGTTTATTGGCGATGGTAGAAAATTCATAAGTCAGCACTAACATTATAAAACCTCCATCACAGCTCAATACAACAAGCTGCCAGTCTTTAATTACACATTCCAGGTGCAAACATAAGCAATTTCAGTCACACCACTCATGCGCTGCTTACGATCGTACATGTGTAAATCTGACAAGTGGCGGAGTGTGTTGGCACACAGACAAGATGTGTGCAGCAAACAACGTTTTTTTTTTATCTTTAGGAAATTGATGAGTTGCTTTTTCAGTAGTATAACTATGCGGCTTACAAAATATCCAACAATGTGACAGGTACACTTTAACCACTTCAATACCCCCCCATTCCTGCCCAGGCCAATTTTCAGCTTTCAGCTTTATTGCACTTCGAATGACAATTGTGCCGTCATGCAACACTCTGCCCATTTTTATCATTTTGTTCACACAAATAGAGCTTTCTTTTGGTGATATGTAATCACCACTGGGTATTTTATTTTTTGCCGAATAAATGAAAATAAGACCTGAAGATTTTGGGGAAAATGTGTTCCTGTTATAGATTTTTGCAAATAAATAATCTTTCTTCCTAAATTTAGACCAAAATGTATTCTGCTACATTCCTTCATGAAAATAACCCAAATCAGTGTTTATTATTTAGTCTGTAGAAAAGTTATAGAGTCCACAAACTATGGGATATACAGTATATATCTGAAAATTGATCAATCCTGATGTGCTGATGGCCTGTCTCATTTCTTGAGGCCCCAGAATATCAGGACAGTACAAATACCCCCAAATAACCCCGTTTTGGAAAGTAGACGGGTCTGAGGTATTTAGTAAGAGGTATGGAGAGTTTTTTGAAATTATAATTTTTTGTCACAAATCTTTGTAAAAGAAGAAATTAAAAAAAATATTTTTTTCTCCATCTTTATTTTCACATACTGTCATCATGCAGTACAGCATCATCATATAACTGGTGTGGTGGTGATCAAGTACACTGACTGGTGACGGTATCCAAAAAAAAAAGAAAAAACTTTTTCTTTAAATTTTTTTTCTATTTATGTCATTGTTTTTTATTTACATTTTCTTTTTTTTTCAAGATTTTCTTTTAACATACTGTGACCAGAGCAATACAATATTATTATAGTAACACAATACTACTCAGGGGAAGTGGTCAGGATTTAATTTTTTTTCACGCTATGATTGCTTATACCAGTGAATTTCACTGGTATAAGCAACCATTGTCACTGATGGACTCATTGGATTCATTCAGTATTTACTAGTTTGTTGTTAGCTGTGATTAGCCACATCTAATCACATGGTACAGATGGGCTGTGATTGGCCCTATCTGTACCATGTGATCATTGTGACCAATTACAGCACAATACTATACAATGGATGGTATGAATGAACGCCATCCATTATATACAATTATCATTTAATCTGCTGTGATTGGTCACAGCGATCACATGGTACAGGAAGCAGCTGGTACACTTATTGGTCTTCCACTGTGTCCGGTTAACACAGCGGGTGACAGAACGCGCTGCAGCAGGGCCCGTGGCGCGTTCCAGGGAGGACGGCATGTGATGTCCACTTGGAAAACATGTGTCCAGCCCGCCGTCATTTGTCAAATGATATCCGGGCGGGAACTGGTTAGGGACCAGTTCACGCCACAATTTCTGCATTTCAGATGTGTTTCTGCACGTGTGTTTTTGATGCATCTTTGATGCGTTACAGTGCGGTTTTGATGTATCCAATGCATTTTTTTCTTTTTTTTTAAATTTAAATTCAGGACACGTGTTTTCTGGTTCATTTTTTAAAAATTTTACAGTATGTTTTTAATGTGTTTTGCAACATAGCCATACATCGCTTTGCTTACAGCGGCCGCCCATCCACAGTACATTGTGGGCAGGTGGTCATGAAGAGGTTATATAAAAATAAAACAGTGGCCATTCTTGCCTAATATGTATTGAAACGACCACTTTTAGTCTCCATTAAAAGCCCTTTGGTTGTGACAACTTAGTTGTCACCCTGTACAGGACATGTCCTACCAAGGACCATAAAGGCAGGATCACCAGGTATTATTTTAATGAAAGCTGTTGTTTTAAATATATTGAAAATGTGTCTAAAAATATATTATCATGTGACACATTATTTGAGATTTTATTGATTAGGTTTACATGTACTTTAATTATTTTACATGCCTCAGAGGCATAGAACACACGGGCATGCAACTAGCATTTTCCTAAGGTAGGGGCAGCAATGGCAGCCCAATATTTTTTTAAAGTGGTTCTAAAGGCTCTAAGTTTTATATCTTAATACATTCTTTGCATTAAGGTAAAAAACGCTTGTGCAGCTCCCTCCCAGCCTGCCTAATACTTACCTGAGGTCAAGCCCAATCCAGCAATGTGCATGAGAGCAGCGGCTCTCCGGGGTCTCTCTCTCTCTCCTCATTGGCTCACACAGCAACCGGATCCATTGGCTACTGCTGATGTCAATCACAGCCAGTGAGCCTACGAGTGGAGAGCAGGGGCCAAGCTGCACTCCATGTGTGAATGGACCTACAGAGCATGGCTCGAGAGCGAGTCTGCTTGAGTGCTACCATAGCAAGAGGCTTATTACTGGGGGCAGGGGGAGGAGCCAGGACCACTGGCTTGGGACCCAAAATGAGGATCGAGGGTGCTCTGTGCAAAACCATTGTATAGTGCAAAAAAAACAACTTTCCTTTAGAATCACTTTAAAGACAGGTGCGCTTTAATATTTTATATGTTTTTATTATGTCGATGCATTTAGAAATAAACTTTTTGATATCTGCAAAATACAATTATGTCTGTTGAATGGCATTGGACCGCGCAGACACAACATATGTGGTAATAGCACAAAAAACATGACCTACAGGGATGCATTGAATTGTTTCTGGTTACCGCTATTAAAACTGTCAGCATTATTCAGCTGCCTTTAAAGTTGAGGTGAGTTTATTGATTCCAAATCCAGGCCAACTGCTTTTTCTTTTTTTTTTTTTTCGCAATGTATGCATGAAGAGTTGTCCAACCTGCAGGGACTCGTACAATCCATGAATTATGATTGCCTGGCCTCTTTTATTGTGTGGTCCTCCGCACATCAGACAGACCAACATGGAAATACTCAGGCAAATCAAATACTGATGAATGGGCAATTCTCCTGATTCCATCATCGCTGCTGTGCTTCTAATCTGTACATTTATCTTGCATTTTTTCTTGACTATTCCTTTTTATCTAGGTGTGATCCGGACAGCTGTGTCAGACCTTGATAGAGAGTCTCAGGACCGTTATGACGTTGTGATCCAGGCGACAGATATGGCTGGTCAACTAGGAGGACTTTCAGGGTCAACAACAGTCACTATAGTGATCACTGATGTGAATGACAATCCGCCAAGATTCCCCCAGAGTAAGTCAGAGAAAACAAGAATGAATATGTGTGGTTTTTTTTTTGAGCTATAAATCTATTTCACATAGAAGCTATTGAAGGTTGTAGCCACTCTACCAAATACATTATGTTTGACATTGAGCTAGAGGTTGTACTAACAAAAGCTAATATCCTCATAACAGTTTTATGCAAGTTAGGTATGTGACTAATGGTGATATTCCCATCACACATCATCATCATATTCCCATCACACATCATCATCATCATCATAGACCAGCAATGGGCAAACTACGGCCCGCGGCCGGCGGACCTTTTAATCCGGCCCGCGGAGCGTGATACTGTCAGGATGGCTGTCAGGATGTGTGTAGGCGGGGCAGCGTGACGAATGTGAGGGGAGCTAGGCTCCTCTCACAGTCCGCCCTGAAGACCGGAATGGCGCGGGAACACGGCGAGAGGAACGCGCGGAGCAAAGGTAAGTAAATTGACACAGGGGGGACTTGGCTTACTACTTGGGGGGGAATAGTACTATGGGGGATGAAATACTATATGAGGGATGAATTAATATGGGGAATTAATTACTATAGGGGGGATGAATTACTATAGGGGGGATGAATTACTATATGGGGGATGAATTACTATGGGGGATGAATTACTATGGGGGATGAATTACTATATGGGGGATGAATTACTATGGGGGGATGAATTACTATGGGGGATGAATTACTATATGGGGGATGAATTACTATGGGGGATGAATTACTATATGGGGGATGAATTACTATGGGGGATGAATTACTATGGGGGATGAATTACTATATGGGGGATTAATTACTATGCTTACTATGGGGGAATATTACTATACTTACTATGGATGATACATACACATCATTCATCTACTCTTGGTCCGGCCCCCGGGTCCAATATATGAACCCATTGCGGCCCTCAAGTCAAAAAGTTTGCCCACCCCTGTCATAGACCAAAGTATATATTGCCAGCACACCACAGAACTTTGAGATATTGTCCAAACATTTATTCAGATGATTACATGACATCGGTAAGGTTCAACTGTAGCGCAGATCCCTGACTTGCTTTAATAAACACTAAGACTGTACAGCGCTTGTGGTGCAAAGTCACTGAATACACTTTTGAGATATCAATCCAGAAGAGAAAGTTTAATTAAATAAACAACCAGTAACAATTGTGCAGCAGAACAACTAGAAACCTTGCTATAGCGATTGTAGGAACGGTTCTGGGATGGGCATCCCAGCTAAGGAAGATCCTCTGCATGGGGAGGAGATGAGAACACCATATGTGTCCTTGGCTACCACATGTGGTGGTGTATGTGGGCAGTGGATGATAGGTGGAGCATCTCCTGAACTACAAGGAGTGACAAACGCAGTGTCACTGGAGATCGTGCACCTGAAGTGATGTTACGGCACAGCGGGAATGACCTCAGTGGACCGCAAGGAGGCCAGCAGTGGTCATCAGTTCTCAATCAAGCAGGGTGGATAGCAGGGAGCTCTGCTGGGAAGACCTGGTTACCATGATGACGCATTTCGCACAATGTGTGCTTTGTCAAAGTCAAATCAATGGTTTGATCTCCAGTGACACTGCGGTTGTCACTCCTTGCAGTTCAGGAGACGCTCCACCTATCATCCACTGGCCTCATACACCGCCACATGCGGCAGCCCTGGACACATATGATATGTGGTATATCCCCCTGCGCTGCTATGTCTCCTAGGACTAGTGGCACAGCAGCTTACATCCAATCCTCACCTTTTAATGGAAAAATGGATGAAACTAATATACTAGTGATGTAGCGCTGTAAGGACTTAACCCTTTAGTTGAATATGACACTGCTTCTACAATATAACAATATGTTATCAACCAAACACTTATATTTGTGACACTTATGGGTGATACATGCAGTAAAACAAACATATATATATCCGAGTGATCATATTATCAGTTTGTACTTCGCGGTTTTAATTTCATTAAACCGTTTTATACAATGGTACACTATGGAGGATCTCTGTTTTTTCTATTATATGACTCCCAAACATCATGTATATACAGTTGCAAGAAAAAGTATGTGAACCCCTTGGGATTACGTGGAGTTTTGAATGAATTGGGCATAAAAATGTCCTCTGAATGTCATCTAAGTCACAACAATAGAAGAACACAGTCTGCTGAACATAATACTACACAAACATTAGATGTTGCCATGGTTTAACTGCACATAACATGTAAACATTCACAGTGCAGGGAGGAAAAAGTATGTGAGGCCCTAGCTTAATGACTTCTCCCAGAGCTAATTGGAGCCAGGAGTGAGCCAACCTTGACTCCAATCAGTGTGATGATATTGGATGTGTTGTTGACAGCTGTCCTGCCCTTAAAAAACACACACCTGTTTTGGGTTTACTGGTTTCAAGAAGCACTGTCTGATATGAACCATGCCTCGTAGAAAAGAGCTCTCAGAAGACCTACGATCAAGAATTGTTGACTTGCATGAAGCTGGAAAGGGTTACAAAAGTATCTCCAAAAGCCTTGATGTTCATGTGTCCACGGTAAGACAGACTGTCTACAAATGGAGAAAGTTTAGCACTGTTGCTACTCTCCCTAGGCGTGGTCGTCCTGTAAAAATGACTGCAAGAGCACAGCGCAGAATGCTGCATGAGGTAAAGAAGAATCCCAGAGTGTCAGCTAAAGACCTACAGAAATCTCTGGCACATGCTAACATTTTTGTTGACACATCTACAATAAGGAAAACATTAAACAAGAATGGAGTACATGGGAGGACACCACAGAGGAAGCCATTGCTGTCCAAAAAGAATATTGCAGCACGTTTGAAGTTTGCAAAAGAGCACCTGGATGTTCCACAGCACTACTGCCAAAATATACTGTGGACACATGAAACCAAGATTGAGTTGTTTGGGAAGAACACACAACATTATGTGTGGAGAAAAAAAGGCACAGCACACCAACATCAAAACCTCATCCCCACTGTAAAACATGGCGGAGGGAGCATCATGGTTTGGGGCTGCTTTGCTGCCTCAGGGCCTGGACGGATTGTTGTCATTGATGGGAAAATGAATTCCAGAGTTTATCAAGACATTTTGCAGGAAAACGTACGACCATCTGTCCGCCAACTGAAGCTCCGCAGAGGATGGGTGATGCAACAGGACAATGACCTAAAGCATACAAGTAATTCAACAAAACAATGGCTGCAACAGCACAGAATACGCCTTCTGGAGTGGCCCAGACAGAGTCCTGACCTCAACCCGATTGAAATGCTGTGGCACGACCTTAAGAGAGCGATTCACACCAGACATCCCAAGAATATTGCTACACTGAAACAGTTTTGTGAAGAGGAGTGGTCCAAAATTACTCCAGATCGTTGTGCAGGTCTGATCTGCAACTACAGGAAACGTTTGGTTGAGGTTATTGCTGCCAAAGGAGGGTCAACTAGTTATTAAGTCCAAAGGTTCACATACTTTTTCCTCCCTGCACTGTGAATGTTTACATGTTATGTGCAATTAAACCATGGCAACATCTAATGTTTGTGTAGTATTATGTTCAGCAGACTGTGTTCTTCTATTGTTGTGACTTAGATGACGTTCAGAGCACATTTTATGCCCAATTCATGCAAAACTCCACGTAATCCCAAGGGGTTCACATACTTTTTCTTGCAACTGTATATGAGCATTCATACTGCTACCTAGCCATGGAGGAATAGTGGAAGGTGGAGGAAAGCTTACTGAAGGTGTTGGAGTCTATCCTTGTTTGGAGAGATCGTGTAGGATCCTGGGTGATCCATAAGGCTTTTTTGCCCCTGTGGGTCGCAGGGGGAAGATGAGCGGGCACGCCTGTCATATAGGAGCATTACTCACTACCTGCACCGGCACAGGAGCATGCTGTTTGTCATTGTTTGTGTGTGCCATTGAAACACAAGTTAGACACCGGATATTGTGGACTTTATATCACTATTATCTACATAGATCAGTGGGGATTGAAAGTTTGGGCACCCCAGCTAAAAATTTGTATTAATGTGCATAAAGAAGGAAAGATGGAAAAATCTCCAAAAGGCATCAAATTACAGATTAGACATTCTTATAATATGTCAACAAAAGTTAGATTTTATTTCCATCATTTACACTTTCAAAATAACAGAAAACAAAAAAATGGCGTCTGCAAAAGTTTGGGCACCCTGCAGAGTTAATATCTTGTACTGCCCCCTTTGGCAAGTATCACAGCTTGTAAACGCTTTTTGTAGCCAGCCAAGAGTCTTTTAATTCTTGTTTGAGGTATCTTTGCCCATTCTTCCTTACAAAAGTCTTCCAGTTCTTTGAGATTTCTGGGCTGTCTGTCACGCACTGCTCTTTTAAGGTCTATCCATAGATTTTCAATTATGTTGAGGTCAGGAGATTGTGAAGGCCATGGAAAAACCTTCAGTTTATGCCTCTTGATCTAATCCCCCGTGGATTTCGAGGTGTGTTTAGATCATTATCCATTTGTAGAAGCCATCCTCCCTTTAACTTCAGCTTTTTCACAGATGGCATCAAGTTACCATCCAAAATTTGCTGAAATTTTATTGAATCCATTTTTCCTTCTACTCCTGAGATGTTCCCTGTGCCACTGGCTGCAACACAACCCCAAAGCATGATTGATCCAACCCCATGCTTAACAGTTGGACAGGGGTTCTTTTCATTAAATTCTGTGCCCCTTCTTCTTCAAACGTACCTTTTGCTCATTTCGGCCAAAAAGTTAAATTTTAACCTCATCAGTCCACAGAACTTGTTTCCAAAATGCATCAGGCTTGTCTATATGTTAATTTGCAAATTTCAAATGATGATTTTTGTAGTGAGGACGTAGAAGAGGTTTTCTTCTGATGACTCTTCCATGAAGACCATATTTGTACAAGTATCTCTTTATAGTGGAATAGTGTACCACAACTCCAGTGTCTGCCAGATCTTTCTGGAGGGATCGTGCAGTCAAACGTGGGTTTTGAATTGTTTTTCTCA